CCAGGAAAAGAAGAAGAAAGAAAAGAGCACCTTGGATTGCCATGCTTGAGAATTATAATAAATTCCTTTTGGTTAATTTCTATCAACTTAAGTCTTCTCTCCTCTAAACCCTCGCATGCCTTTAAATAGACACCATCCCCTTTATTCTTTTTGGTTACACATATGCCTTGTTTGCTGCAAAGGTCAAAAAGATGTTTCATTTTCTAGGGGGATAATTTAATTGCGTACAAGAAAGAAATGATACGCATTTAATTTAATCTTATAGACAAGTGGGAGCAAAAACAAAAAAGGTATTCAGGCATGATAGACCACACAACTACCACAAGATATTTTCCAGCATGTTGAAATCAGAAACGAATGTACGAAGAAGAGTTAAAATTTTCAACTTTTCTTTTGGTTTTTTTTTTAGGAAGTCAAGGGTAGTTTTATTAATTGTTACAATGGAGAATTCGATCCTAAATCTAATAAATATTCTATGTCCCTTTACGAGACGCGCGGGCCGTCGGACTGTTTGGTTTGGTGGAGTTCATCTTTTCTTTTGGTTAGTTGAATGGAATCAGGAGATATATAAAATGATAGGCATGTGCGTTTGTAGTTAAGTTGTCGTTTACTTCATTTTATTTTATGAACCTCAAAATTAAAAAATTAAAAAATAAAAAAAAAACCATTGTTAAACATTGGGGTTTTCCATTTTTATGTTCACTAAAACCAAAATTAGTATACATTACAAAATACTATGAGGGTTAGTTCATGGAATAAAACAAATACTTTTTTTTTTTCTTCTTTTTTGTAAAGCAAAAAAAAAAAAAAAACACAACAACATCAACAAGGTGGTTGAAGGAATAGATAATATATACTGTTTTGATGAGTTGTGGAATCTGTTTAAAAGAATATATAAACTTGGGATTTATGCTTCAGCACTTTACAGTTTCATGAATTGCAAACTGCATAAGAAGAGAATGCTCTCTTTATTCATTGATTCCATTTTTAAACGTAAAAGTAAAAGTTATATCAGGAAATTAAAGAAGAAAACAAACTAACCTGAACCTCTGCCTCCTCCATCGCCGCGTCTTTTGATATTCAGTTCAGTTCAGTTCAGTTCAGTTCAGTTCAGGGCTTTAAAATTCGGGACTGTTGCAATCTGCAATGCAAAAACTTTGAACTCATCAATTCTGTCTTCACTTCACTTCTCCTCGCCGTCTGTCGCGCAGCTGTTTGGTTAGTAGTGGTGGTAGTATTTTTGGATTTAACCTAACCTAATCTACAAGTTTCATGGGTCCCCCACCCCTTTTCTTTTTGTAAGTGAATTTGGATCAGGGAATTAGAGGGGAAAGGG